GCGTTTCTAGAAGAAAAACTTTCCTTCGAGCAGCAGGTGCTGGCACTGACCTAGCCAGCACAGCTCACAGGAGCGTTTTGCCCAGTATCGATGTACGTGGAATCCCGCAGTCTTCCTCATCTTCGTCTGTATATCTAACCTACTCTGGTGAGTTGTGGGTCTTATATCCCAGTGTTAATTCAATGAAAACGAGATTAGTCTGTCTCTTCAAATTAGGAGAGGAGCGTGCATGCGTGTGTGCACGGTCAGCCTCTTGCTTTGAGGGCAGCCAGGCACACCACTGGTCCCCCACATTTTTCCATTTCAGGTATTTTCTTTCGTAGCGTCACGTTTCTACTGTAATTTGCTGGTAGGAACCTCTCGAAGTGGCTCTTATAGTAGAAGAGCAGCCTCTACGCTAGTTAGGCATCCTCTTCTCCCATCTTCTCCTCCAATTGGTCATCTCGGCGCGGTAGCTTTTTTTCAGCCCGCATTAGATCTCTTTGAAAGCTGTAGCTTTTACTTTCACGTTTCCTGTTTGCTAAGGACCTCTGTCACTCCTTTTTTTGCCCCAGTGGCCCTGCACCTACTTCCGCCCCAAGTTGTTTTACTCGCTCCCCTTTCGTTCGAAAATGGCATACGCAGCTTGCCCGTATTATTCACCTTGTGTCCATTGGAACCTTGTGGTCCCGCAGTCGTCACCTCAAGTGTATTGCTACTACGTTCCCACTACGTGGACTTGCGTTTCTTCAGTGCCGAAGTGCTGTTGCGTGGGCTGTTGCTGCTGCTGCTGTCGCTGCAGTAGCAGCGCAGCTGCTCCTGCTCAGGCCGAGGCATCTCCCGCTGTGGCGTTCCCTCCGCGGTCCGGCACTGTCCAGTTGGAGGGTCAGGTGCAGATAAAGCCGCAAGACACGTCGAAAGTTGCTGAAAGCAGCAGGAAAAAAAGTGCTGACGACACAGGAAAAGGCTGGCGGAGGGTCAGCAGCCTTCCGCGCATGCGCGCCGAAAAAGAAGCTAGCGAGTACTCCACAAGCAGCAGCAGCTACTCCCGGGATAGTAGAAGAAGAGAAAGAGACCACGGCTCCCGCAGACGGCCCAGCCCAGATAGCCGTGGCCGTTGCGAAGGAGTGCTGATAATTAAGGGGCTGCCACGAATGGACAGAGGCGATGACAGGAGAAGACGTTCTGAAAGCAGCAGGGAGAGGGGCTGCACGCTGAAGGGCACGCTTAGATTCAATGCTGAATAAGCTCTCACAGCTTGGTGTAGGGCCAGGCGGAGGCGGTGCAGCTGTAGCGATACTGCTGCAGCAATTGCTGCTGCTGCAGCTTTTTGAGCTGGTGCAGTGGAATGTATTCTGTCACAGTGCACCTCAAAGCGGCTGCGCACGGGCGTCGCCAGTGTCCTCATTTCTCATCTGGAGAAGTTTGCGGGGCTTTATTGTTCTTGCTGAACGGAGGCAGTGCTGGTTGCGAGCAGCGGCTAAGACAACGCGATGCTTTTCTAGCTTGACGGCTAAGCCATTCAGCATCGTCTTCAATGGAAACGCAGCTCATCAACGAAAGGACTAGCGTTGCCGTCTCTTTCATTTCAACGCTCATAGCTGTAAATAAACCTGTTAAAGCAGAATATCGTTTGTCAGCTTCCGGTTCTGTTAGTTTGACAATCGTGTCCAACGAGACATTTTCGGTGCCTTCGTTTGGTTGTTTTGCTCTTGTACGCATTGTCGCTGGACTGTGCCCAATTTGAAATACTTACCAGTGCAGCAGATGGAAGCTGATTGGGGACAGCAGCAGCAGCTTTAGTCTCCCCGAGTTATCTGAGATGGCTATTGGAAGTGCTGAAAGTGGAGGCAGACAGTGTGTAGGCAGCTACGTCATAAATTGCCTATGGTTGCCGAGCTAATTAGAGCAGGAAAAGAGGCACCGCAAAACGATTTGAAGTTACGTCACATATGTAGCTGGAGTTGACTAACTGACACCAAGCTTGCGAGCCTTATGGCGTGCTTGCCAAGCTGTTCGGTGGTTTGCAGTGGCTTTGAGGAATGTAGATGTAGTGCTGAATGAGTCAGGAAGGAAAGACATCAAGACCCAGATGCCTGCAGAAGAGCAATCGAGCTCGGTCAACTTGGTACTGAGATGTTACAGAGAAAGTGGGGGGAAACACACGTATATGAAGGAACTAGCAAATAATATAGAAACACGATGCACTGCATTGAACTGAGCACGGGAAAGAACACAAAGAGCAAACCTCCATGAAGAAAAGCAAGAAGAAGAGCGGCTTCAAAGCGAGGGAGAACGTTAGGGAGACACATTTAACATGTCCTACTGCATAGACAAACGGGCGGGGGAGATAGAGACGCGGACATTTACATGAATGACGACAGAAAGAAAAGGAGGAGGAAACACGATGAGGCCTACGGAGGCAGGTGCAGGGCAACACTGTGGTTGGCTGTACAAGCGCGTGCCAGTAGAATTCTAAGAGAACACTTGAGCTTTTGTGGCTTTCATCACTTTTCCTGTCCATTTTAGAGAGTTGTTTAAATGTCTGGACGGTATGAAGTGGAGTAAGTACACAGTTTGCAGCACACTGCCTTGCGATGCCCACACGTTTGCAGAACAGCTTCCACCAGACGTCGCAGCTTGTGGTTTTGTTAGTTTGTCTCTGGTTTCTTTGTGGCTTGTCCAAGGTCTGGCACAAAAATAAAGCTAACCGTACTTTATACTCCAAACCTTGCCACGATTTGTGGTTTCTTTGCCCTCTGTGTGGGTGATGGTTTGATGGTTTGTGCATGGACTGAGGGTTACCTCGGTGCACAGTGATTGCTCAGGGCGCTGGACCCTCTTGCCAAAGTGGGTTCCCCTGATCTTGACCCCCAAGAGCTGAGGCATCTCTGTGGAGATATTGGTGGGCGGAAAAGCTGTCTATGAGCATCGGAATTGAATTGGACAGTCTTTAAGTTCCGTCATGCATTCCGTGGCCCGAGAAGACGCCTAAAAGAGAGAGCCTCACATGGAAGCACCAGATACTTGAGTAACTGCTTAAACGATTTCATGGTTAGGCGTTAAGGGCTTTGGGTTAGGATGAATTCAGGGAAGCGGCGTGAACAACCGGTCGTGCTGCCATCCTAACTGTTTTGAGGGCACGAGTCAAGCCCACGTCGTAGTTGATATACAGAAGACCATGCCTCTTTTGTGTTGACGACGTGATAAGTTACGTTGCATGTGGAGGCTTCCTGCCTCCGCCAACTGTATTTCTGGTGGGAGCCGTAACAGCAGAATGTACAGACTTGAAGCTGGAGAGGCCAAGGGTACTGCAAAGCTGGGGCTACGGCCACAACTACGAAGAGATGCCAAAAATAAACCCATAAGTAATCCAAATTTGAGTCTTTAATGTTGTCATAACGCAGGAAGATCGTATCATTAAGCTGAATGCCACTGCACTCTGAGCAACACCCAATGGCGGAAACGCCAGGCGGAGGCTAAACACGCACATGGATCTCTGCAAAGGATGGCAGTATCTATAAAACCTTAAACAAAAGTGAACAAAAATATTTCAACAGAAAATTGCAAGGGCAGTTATGCAGAGATCATATTTCAGTCAGCCGAACGGCATTCAGTACTGTCGGTGACCTGGGCTGGGCGTTGCATCCAAATGTGGGTGTGCCACTGGAGCGGGATTTTAGGTGAAATATTTTCAAAGTGGGTCATTTTATCACTTGCATGTTTTGAGGGAATAAAAACTTTGCTAATAGGGCTAAAAAACCCTGTGAAAGTCTTTGCCTATTCTTCCTGTGTGGTCGGCTCAGATAAGCAGTGGTCCGTTGGAAGTTCCGTGCTGCTTTGTGGGGCTGAGGGCTCCTTACAATTGGTTCTTTCCGCAAGAAATCGTCCTGAAATTCCCCCTCTGTCACATTGATCATTTGTTCCTACCGTGAGCGAATAGACAAGAATCCACGGAATTCGTGGTGTTGCGCGGAGCGAGAACCCAGTCACAGAGCCCTTCGGCGACGTCTCGTAGCTACGAGAGCAGCGCCAGAACAAATGCAATTTCTGGGCATCCACCCCCTAGTTCACTGCCCAGGCATTTGTCAAACTGTTTTCAAGGCTACTTCACCAAGATTATTTGAAGAATTTCCCCAAGGACGGTCGTAAAGCGAAGTTTAGTGGTTCTCTTCTTGTCCGTCTGGCGAGTGTGGGAACCCTATACCATGAATTCGAAGCTCCAAACTCCAAACACTAAATTCCAAATTTCGTGACAGCCATGCCTGTTTTGTGCATGCGAGCCTGGAGTTGCCGACGCTTCTTAGCGCCGTCACTTCTGTCGTTGGCGGTGAAGCAAGCATGCTTGGGCAGCTGCATCTTTCAAGCTAAAGAGTAGACAGACACCCCAACAAATTCTTTGATTGCAGTCGCAGCAGTTGAGGTGTGGGGAGCTTCCATTCTCGGGTCCAGCGGCTTCTGAAGTTCGGGGAACAACCTTTTTTGACCGGGTACCCTCGGCTCAAAAAATCAAAACATAACGTGCTGAGCACAACAGCTATTCCTGCATAACGGAGATGGACTTAAAGAAAATTGCTGCTTCCCAAGAAGGTACCGTCAGGCCTAAGGCCTAGAGCTGGGACGGGACAGAGAATAGCAGTCTTTTGCCGGAAGAAACCTTACGGTGTTTGCCTTGCGTTGTGGCAAGGTCTTGTGGTTTGTCAATTCCGTATCAGTTTGGGCACAGATTGATATGTATGTCTAGTTTTAGAGGTATGCACCAATATATAGAAGTGGACTATTTCCAGTGGAAATCATCAACCGCAACTTCGAAACTTTGGTAAAAAATAAAACCCTAGCGAGTTCAAAGAGACTCGGAAGGATCAGGAATAACAATTATTGCCACCGCGGTAACCAGCTGTAATTCGAAAGGTTTGGTGGTTGGGGCGCCACGTATGTCCAGCACGGTTAGTGAGAGGGGCGCAACGCTGTGCAACTCCAAACCCAGTAGAAGTGGTTGACTGCAGCGAAACTTTTACCAAATGAACGGCGGCAGCATGGATAAGGGCTGGCAGGACAATGGGAGCGAGAAGGCAATCATGACAGATGCAACATCATCATTGGCCGCCGCTGCGGCCATTGAACCGTCTGTAAAGCAGCGGCTGCGAACGCAACGCTGTGGAAAGCCATTACCCCCAATGAGCCCCACTCAGGCTTGCGTAAGTCCGAACTAGAAAAAGGGGTAGCATTTCTTGGCGTTGAATTCGTGATTCCCAGCAGCATAAGAAACAAAATCCCGAGACAACTATTTCGGTGTTTGTACGAGTTAGGGGAAGCTGCTAAAGTATGTAAAACTGCTGAAGCCTCCTTCGTACTCAGTACTTTGCATTATGTGCTCGATTTGCTTATCAGGCAATCATAAGTAACGCGTGGCTAAGGCGGCTCGAAAGGGAAAGAAGGCTGCTACAGGAGCTCGTAAGACGAGGATCCCCTAATTCGGTCTTTACATTTAATGGTGATGCCACTGCTCGTGCTTGATCAATACGTGATTTGTGGGCTTGCAAGTTGCAGTGGAATGGTGAACGTTTACAAGAAAGTGCTTAGTTTTCTTGTGTTTTGAGGCCCGAAACCGGCTGGCTTTTTGACTTGGGCTTGATGTTTAGGACTCAGTGCTTGTGTTTTGTGAACACTAGAAAGACGCAACGAGCGCGCTGAGAAACGAGGCAGCACGTGTAGTGCAGAGGTGCTTCAGAGGTAAGCCCTGAGGCCTCAACCCTGATCTCTGACACGCACGCATTACACTCTAGGTTATATATTCGCAGCCTGCCAAATCTGTTGGGTTGACGCTTTTACCCGATACTGAAGCTCATGTCTGTTAGCCCCCAGCTGCTGGGTAAGAGTCTCGTTGGTAGGTCACAAAATATCTTGAGAAGATGCGAGTCTGCTTGTTTCAGGGTTCCTCTTGCGAAAAGCTCTAGGGGAGGAGTTGCAAACGACTGTCATTCGGTGGAAAAATCCGCCCAATGGGCAGAAGCACGAGGTCTGGTGTTTTACATGAGTCAGCGCCAGCCGCTACCGCTGAAGAAATTACAGCAGCTGTTCCAACCACACATGCTGTTCGTAGAGCCATTTTTCGACAGGGTCGTATTTCAGGCTGCATGATGACACTGTGGCTGAGAGAAAATTCCGTTGCTTGGGTTCAGCGTGCAGAAGTTAGACTTCTCCTTTGGCGCTCATGCATGTGAGTTTATGTGCGCTTGTATCAGGCTGAGGTATCCATTCCGGATCCGCCAAGATGGGAGCGTAAAATACCCATGCATTTTTGCCCACTAAGGAGGTCAGTCCTCATCTTTTGCTAGCATCTGGTGCCCGTTTACTTCCTCCGAGGCAGCAATCTGCACGGTGCCCCAAATCCTTGGCCTTTCACTAAAATCCGCAGTCGGATGCTGAGTCCTGCTAACGTTCAAGAGCTAAAAGTTTGTGCTTTTGTCATATCTCAGGGCCTATGTTTGCCCTGTTCCAGTGGTCAAAGGCCGCCTACTGGTGCGGTTCCTTGTAGATGGTCGCGCTTACGCCCCCCACCAACTGACAAAGCATGAAGTAAACTTCAAGCCGACACTAATTCTAGGCGCTGCTGAGGGTGCATGCACTATCTGTGTGGAAGTTGACTCTGCCGTAGCAAACCTTTGGCAGAGCATCATCCTGCTGCTGCTTATGAAGAGCGGAAGTGTTGCTGCCCATCAAAGATGTAAGTGATATGCTTCATCTTTTGCTGTTCCCCGCTGCAGGCAGACATAGGTGAGACGCGTGGGCTTCTGCTGCTTCCTGGATCGTCTTTGGGGGATCGCGTGGCTCCTCGGTACCCTTGGAAGGCAGCAAGGCAGTGGCAACAACAGCAGAAAGTGCTGCTTCTGCAACAACTGGACCGGGAGCAGTTCCAGGATGAGGAACTGCAGCTGAAAGAGCAGCCGCAGCCGCAAGAGCGGCAGCCGGAGCACCCGCAGCAGCAAGAGCAAAATGAACAGGATTCATCAGAACTTGGCCAAGGCGTGCAATCATTCCTAGAGACTGGAGTACTTGAAGCCCCTCTGCGCCCCCCTCGACACTTCAGCATGGGCCTCTTGGGGTCCCCAGACTCGCTGAGCTCCTCCTGGAACTGCAGTCAAGAGGAACCTGGCGCATACTCATGGGGTCCTCCCTGCAGGCCCTATCGTGACCACAGCCGCAGCAGCAACGAAGACGAGGACCTATCACCGCTACAAAAAAGGCCCTCGTGGGCGTGTGGAAGTCGGATGCATCAAGGGAGGCAGCGCCACATTCCACCAAGGTGGCAACAGCACCAGGAACAACAACGCCCGCAGCACCAGCAGCACCAACAGCAGCAACAGCTGGAGAATGCTCTAAAAATGCAAGAACAGGAGCAGCATAGTCACAAGGAGCGCCGCAACCACGGCCATCACTCAGCGAACCATCAGCACAAGCATGGAGGGATGGGCGAGTACAAAAGTCTCAGCACCTCCGACTCAGACGGACCCGAGCATCCTTACTGCCCAGATGACAGTGCAGGCGAATCAGCAGCAATAGAAACAGTAACAACTGCAACTGGGGCAACGGCAGGCTCCGTTTTTACTTCAAATGGCAATGAAGAAGCCTCAAGAGGCTTCTGCAGCCCAAAGCCGCCACCGCCACCCAGTACCTGGGTTCTCCGTGGCTCGTTCACCGATTCACCGAGAGGCCTTTCTCCCGGAAGGGCCCCTAAAGTGGCCATTCCGGACATTCGAATAACAACTGAAGGGCCCCAGCAGAAACTTGGGATGTCTCCGGATAGCTGCGAGTCAGATCCGCAGCTCAGTAGCATCAGGGCGTCTCAGTATGCCCCCTGTAAGGCGCTAGACTGGCGCGAGTCAACAGACGACGAGTACCCATGGAGCTCCTGGCCTTGGGGCCTCTCTAGGAGACCCCTAAGTAGTACAACAGGTGCAGCCCAGAGAAACTCATCCAGCGCCAAGCATGCTCAGCTCAGGGAGAGCTGCACGAACCTTGCAAGGGCAATGTACGCAGAAGAATCTGACAGCTACACCTGCAGGAGCAACAGCAGCAGCAACACCAGCACACAGTCGATGCATTCAAACGGGATTCGGCAGCCACCTGGGTCCCTCCGCAAATGTCGTGATGTCCTTATAGACAGCGCAGATTTGACAGGTGGACTTTTGTGGGCCCACAGGAGGAGCCACAGCTACTGGGACCTTAGAAGACCCTTATCAACAAGCCCTTTGCTGCTAAGGTACACGAGAAGTCTCTCGCTGCAGTGGTAGCAGCACAGCGGCAGAAAAGATTACTGTGGCAGCAGGAGATAGGAGCTGAACTATGAGCAGCAGGTGCTGCAGTAGCCAAAAGTGCAAGTAAATGCCAAAATTAAGAGCTCCTCTTTGAAGCTTGCCCGCTGCAGCGCCCGGAGGAGGGCACCGGGGTTCTTCGTTCGGTCAAAATGTCATGCATAAAACGAAGATACACAGTGGCTGTAGCAGCTTCTATTCCCATGAGCTCTTCTGTTTTGATCGGAATCATAGCCCTGCGAAGCCCCAGAAAAAAGCCTGCCCTACGCAGCGTCAATGCCTTTGGGCTGCGTCTAGTGATCTTCATGACCCGGTTTGGACGAGGTGAAACTCTGTTATTTTCATGCGTGGAGGACATTTGATAAGTTTAGCAGAGCCCTAAAATCCGCCTTATGCGTTTGGGCTCAGCTGTGCGTCTGGCTGCACAGTGCAATGGACCAGGCGGGAAGCTTTATGGACAGCTCCCGTTGCATTCAGTGCCTCTTTTGAGGTCATTGAATGCTGCGTAGAGAGGGAGGCGAAGTCATTCGACTTTCGCTGTTGCATTTGGTTGTTGTCAGGATGGGGCAGACTGCAAAGTGCTTCACTTTGCTACGGCAACTCTTAAGCTCAAACCTACGTACTACTGCTCATTCAATTGCACGGGTTCTACGTTTTGTGGCTTCTGTCACCGTACTAAGACGGCTGCGAAATAAATTCCGAGGATGGGGACAAATAGTTATGCAAATAGCCAAACATGAATCAACGGAGTAACATACGTAGAAAGACGCTTCCGGACGCGCATTCAAGCAGCACTGGCCAATTGGCCTAAGCTTGGCTCTTTATGATACATTATCTCCGTAAGTGCGTATCACTAGCATCTTTGAGAAAAGAAGATTTTTGAGCTGGGAATGACACGAAATTGATTACCCAACTGCATATAACAAACCAAGAAATGGTTTAATTTTTGTACAAATGAGTGACGGACTGCGTTTGTCATGGAGAGCACAGCTGAGTGCTGTTATGGGGAACACGGCTGAGTGCTGTAACAGACACAAACAGACACTTGTTGCCAATGCAGAAGAGAAGCAGACGACTGCTGCGTCTTTGCCACACAATACCTCCGACTTGTCATGTTTCAGTTGAATGTGTAAAGCGCGGGTAAGATAACAGATCAGCTAGGCCATGAGGGTCCGCTTATATCTCTATGTGGCGTCAGAATATGGACTGGGCACCGCAACGCACACGAAATAGCTAGCTCTCGCTGGTAAGTCATGCCGGTGCGACAACCTAGACAAAAACGTCCCAAAGGAACGTTGGCGTTTCAATGGGATGCCGGTTAGGTGTCAAGTGAGCTACCCTTGAGCATACATGCTGCGTGTGCGTTGGTGATATGCTGGGGCACTAAGCAGCTGTGCACTGGGCGGTGCACACACATGCGTGTTGCATCAAACTGCTCATTTTAAGGCTGGTAGACCAATAAATTTGGAAACCCCAAAAATGATTCCGGAGCAACCGAGGACTGGCTTGCACGGTTCCCTGCCGTGAACCGCCAACGTCTAGTGAAATTATTACTATTACCACTGCGCCTTCGTAGCCTGACACATTTCCTTATGTAGAATACCAGCGGCTGCTGTGTTTTTTGAGGAGGACGGCAGTACACCACTTAACTCTAACCAAGTTACTTTGGCAAAACTGTGCACACCCTTCACCAAAAAAGCATTCGGCAGCATGTGGCGTTGGCTGGAACTATAAACTTCGTGGAACTACATCCACATTTTTTGCTATATAAAAAGGGGCCTAAAACCGTTTGTTGGGTGTTGACTCAGCGCACCAAAGTTTCGCAAATTTTGAATGCAGAGAAAAGCTTATGGCTATAGCTCAGTGCTGCTTTTGAAAGAAAGAGCAGTTTTGTGGAACCTTCATCCACTCCTTGTGACCGTAAAGCTCACAGAAACATGGCTGTTTTAGTTCCAGGGAGCTTGTCTTCAAAATTCAAAGAGGAAGCGAAGTGGACTACGGAGCTGTAGTTCAGCGGAAGCATGACTTCTGAAGGCAATGCTTTAACAGGAAGTACCTCAAGACCACTCAGGGCGGATTCTGCACTGTATACCACCGGCTCTTCGAAAGGAAAGCGAATTTGCGGCTAGACAGAGTCTTGTCCGCCGAACTTCCTGACAGTAGTCTTGCATCAGAAGAAATCCGTACGGCATCGCATGCCGCCAATTCGATTCACTTTCTCAGCATTTCCTTTAGTGCATTATCTCTGCCATTAGTCTAAAGTACGTTTGATGTTCTGGATACTGTTCTTGCATTCAGTAATTCTCCAAAATAAACGCCTTCGGTTTGCGCCTTGCCGAACCTTTCTGTGGCTATGTTGCACTCATCATGAGAACACCAGGCTAAACGGATGCACAGGCATTGTCTCCTAAAGCTCGCAAACTGTTCATTATCATCTGGAGCTTTCAAAAGGAAAAATGAATATTGCCACCCAGAACAAACCGTGAACAGGCCATCCCGCCTGCTGTTACAGCGCCATGAAGGTTTACGAAAGTTTTACTGTCTGTAGCTGCAGGATGACCGGCACCCATGATTGTCAGTAAATTTGCGTTTAGCTAAAGGATTAACTATACAGTAAACAGGCAGCAAAGTATTCTCAATCTTCGCTGGCTGGCCAAACGGGTTCGGCACACCATCAACAGCCAGCATACCGTTATCAGCTTTCTTTCGTCTTGAAGGACAGTGAAGCTCCTTCATTTCTGTGGATAGCGCAGCCTTCATCACCATGGATAAACACGACACTTTCAGCAAAGTGTCGTCTGCCGCAAACTGATATTCCTACGAACAAGACGCGTGAAAACAAGATCATCGGAGTACTTGACCTTAGCAGTGGTGTGTATCGTGTTCTCATGAGCACACTCAACACACTAGAATCCTCGTACGTTAGCCTCCCATGCCTTTATGAATGGGCTGTATTGCTTATTTCTCAAGGGTACGTTTCCATATGCCTTCGGTGGGCGGAGGTCATCGTCAATGAAGGATGTGGCCTTCTCTTAAAGAATGCTTTATACGGTGCACCGCCTCTTAGCAAAAGCAGCATGCCCACGTGCTGGCCCTCTGTAGCGTTTGCTCATGTGTTGTTCTACGTGCAATTGCAGGGGACGAACATGCACGCACAACACTTGCCGCGATCTTCCAACACACGGGAAAGTAAAATGAAGCTTTACATAAGACTGCTGGTCGACTAAGGTCGGTAGTTCAAGACAGGAGGGAGGTACCTGAGGGGAAGCCAGAGTGAGCTTATATCGAAGGGGCCGTAGGATGATAAGGGACACATCTCCACTGAGGTGCTAGGCTGCTTTTCTCCACGTTCTGAGGCAGGGAACCATTCGAAAATCACATTTTCATATCAAAATGCCTAATTTTGAGATACACGGATCCAAGATCAGTAAGCTTCCCTTCACGCCGCGCAAGCAGAGTTGTTTCGCTTGGAAACGAACCTCCTTAAAGTCGGCATCTTTGGTTATTTCACATAAGTATGCAGATGCACATGCCATGCAGGGGCTCACGCTTCTGCCTAGCGTTGTTTCGCCGCACCAGGTGACCTTAGTGACCCGGAGCGGGTCTATTGAAGGCTGTGTTATGGTGTTGGCTAAATTCTCTGTGAATATACTGGGCAGGGCCAGTTAATTTGGGATTTTTGGCCGGAGCGACAAATGGCGTAGCAGGCACTCGAAAACGAGCTCGCGAAAGCCGCAACTGGTTACTGAAGAGCACCGCTATACAAAGCTGCAGGCTCTTGATTAGATTTGTGCTATTGGACGGGTCATTGGAGATTATGCTTCTGCCGTCATATTCAATGCAATAAAGGATCAGCTAGTTGTAACAGCTATAGTATTGGGCAAGGTAAAATCCCACTAGGCGGGCTCCTTGAGCCGGGAGGAGCTTGCCCACTTTGGAAACCTACTGAAAAGGAATGAGTTTGCGACAGTCATAAGGCAACAGAGGAATATAGCAACAACTAGGGGAGCCCTGTCGTATGCCTTGCAGCCTAGCTGCACAGAGGCAAAGCAGGTGAAACGGCTCCTGCTCGGGCTCCACTCATTTGCCTACCTCAGACTCGACTAGATATACTTCCAAGGATCTCATAAAACTGCTATGACTTAGTTCATAAACGCAGAACACGCTTTTTAGGATAGAGGGCAGCTCTAACAACCCAAAGGGGAACTACAATTGTTCTCCGCGCCTTGTGGCACAGTGCACAAAAACTATCCATTTAGTGTTGAGCACTGCAGAAAACCGAGTGAGTGGTCTTCGAGGGTAATATAAGTAAATGAAGTGCAGGACATTGGTAAGCTTCGTTTTGCTTGAGAGACTGAACTTTTGAGCATAGCAGGACATTTTGTGCAGAGCACAGATGGTTCTGCAATGCCCAGACTCTGCACTGGCAAGAATCCCGTAGCGTGCAGCGACGCTGTGTAGCAAGCAATATAGCCCTTAAAGAGGTACTACTGACTGTTTGCATAAATTTATTACCATTAAAATATATAAATGAGCATATGAGTCATTATTAGTGTTCTGAACGACCAGCGCTGTTTCTCGGTGTGCATTGGATGGATGCACCAACACTGCGAGCCCCTTGAACTGACCCGTCTGTAGAGAAGCATGCCTACTTTGCAACAACTATCAGGTGTCCTCGACTAATATTTCTTAGATAGCACTTTAAAATTACAGTTGTGGATGTTTCAGCTTCTCGAGCTCGTTTCTTCGTATTGTTGTGCTGCCGCACTACACTGTTCCCCACACCCTCAGGGAGAACAGTCCATTTCTACCCTTAAATTATACCTGAGTTTTCAGATTTCCGATCTTACTAAACCGCTTTTCCTGAACAGTTGCTTCTGGCTTGTTAGAGCTAAAGCCAAGAAAGTTTTGCACACAGATAGATAGCGTTAACGCGGAGCCAGGTTCGCAAAATTGGGTGCAGCCCAGAGCAGTGCAATCTCTCGCAGGAGCAACGCTCTCTTGCTATGAAAGAAAACGAAATGCCAAACGTTGTGCTACTATTCAACGATTCTCGACGTTCCATAACCGATCTTGACGCTGGACTTTTCCCCTAATAGAAGACTGCGGAAGAGGTAGCAGAGCTGATGATTGCAACAGGTTTCGCTCAAGCTAATGGAACATAAATTGCGCTCACTAAGTTGGGATGAAGGAGTGAAATGATGTTTCGTATCTTTGTGAAAAAACGAAGAGTGACGGCAAGTCGCTAGCTCTGGCGCAGGATTGGCTGGCCCAACCTTCGCCCTTCCCTTTCTTCTAAAAGGTGCAATACGCGTGACACAGGGGAATAGACTGCAACACTGACGCCCACCTGCTTGCACGATAAAGATCACGTATGCAAACAGGTGCGAAAGCGTAAATCAACGTTCGCGTAGAACTAGCATATGCGAGCAACAGCCAGCTCCATGGCCTACCGCATGGCCTGTATTCTGTTCAGGCGTTGCCGAGTTGATCGCAGTAGCCAGCCGAAGGCTTTGCGAGAAGCGGTCATGTCCCTTTGTATGCACGCTCACTGAGTAGAAAGGCAAGGCTGCTTCGCAGCAACCCAGCCGTATTCTCACTGTGGGTACCGCGTCGGCGATACATAATCAGGACTCTCCACGGGTCTCTTATATTATCAAATGCAGGCAGCTTAGTGACTTAGTGACTGAGTGGAGGCAAAGGAAAACCAGAGCATGTCCACTGTGGTGCTCGACGCGTTAACAATCCTTTACTTCATGATTCCCCAGCCACCAGGCCCCCGCCAAAACACCCTCACGACAAGCATATCATACTATTGCCTGGCAAATCTGGAAAAATTATTTATTCACTGCACAGCACCTCGTAAGCTCGCTCTATGTAAAAGGCAGACATGAGTTTTACAGGCAAAATGGGTTCGTTAGGGCCAGTGTGCGAGCTGTGCCCCCACAGTGGTGATTGGGGAACATGAAGACCATTCAGGAAAATGCTCACGATAATTAGATACAAAGTTAAATCAATTTTAAAATGCCGGTGACTTTTTGGTGCTTTCTTTGCAGACTTTGTGAGGGGTGCAAACTAGTTTTACACTCTGGACCAGCGCGCAGGTTTCCAACGTATGAGTGTGACAGTGACAGAGCGAGCCTATTTGAAGCCAGTGCTCTACTGAAAGTCAAGTATTTATAACAATTTAATGCTGCCTTTAACATCGCCTTTATTCGAGTTCTCAAATGTGGCGGCTGGACGCCCAACTTGCGAAATGCGCAGCAGCCCCGTTTCCCTTGGTGCCCCCAACAACACGAAAGCTTGAACAGTGTGTACAGATCTTTGGTAGCGGGAGAGATCTATTTGCCACTTTAGTGGTTGGTCGTTCGAACTTTAGCAAATAACAATAACTCGCACGAATTCACAGAAGCTCTGTAGAGGGATTGAGCCGCCCCCCAGAGCCTGCTCAACCTGCCACAACTATGTAGTGAAATCCGCTTATGACGGCCCAGACAGCACTGTATTAATACTCAAACATGCATAAGAAGATCCAAACGGAAATGCCACTGAGTTGCTATCTTTACAAGGGCGTACAAGCAGGAGGCTGCTTGGACGACCCACAACGGCATTGATAAAATTACTTAAAACTCTACAGAGCTCTTGAAGGCTAGCGAAACGCGTGGCAAGATGCGCTGCCCACAGGGAGAAACAAGGGCTGGTGATTGGCTGCCTCGCGGATGCCTGAAGAAATAAAATACTGCTTTTCTGACTTCCAGCTCTCGAGGGTATGGAGGACCCAACCCACAAACATGAATATGCTGAAAATGTATCCAAATAAAATATTTTTGAAGATATTCAGTAGCTTCGGGGTTTCTAATGAAACAAAAAGAGCACACTTCTACAAACAGCACAATCCCATTTGCTCGCCCAGTCGCGAAGGGCAAATATTACTACAGTGACAGTAGCTACAAGACACCTTAGCAGCCTTACATGAATTGCAGCCCTGAAGCTACACCTATATTGTGCTCTCTGGTTTGAATTTACCACTCACTGTTCATTGCGGCCTAGCCTGGCGCAGCGCAACGGTTTGGCAAGACCAGCAAACTGGCTTTTTCAGCTGCAGGCTCGTGGCTTTCCTCTTCACACGCCGTTGCCTCTGTGCGTCGTTTTCGATGTGTTTGCGTGTCACATTCCACTCAGTGCCTCTCTCATGTGTTCTAAAGAAGCCACGGCCAAACGAGTGCGGGACATGCAAGTCTGAAGAAGGCATTTCTGGCTTTTGGCAAACAGTCAAAGCCGTTATTTTCTGCCCAGCTTGCTTCCCTGCACAGCAGTATCTGAATTCTCGCACTGCGCTGCATCAGCTGCCCAGGACATAGCCTAGCTGTAGGAGACTTGCTGAGCTGTGGTGCGCCAAGTCAATCCAGCTCGTGAACTTCAGTGGAATGTCGAAAAGGACGGTTCACCTATTGTTGTACATATCCCTCTTACGCAGCCTCAGGCAGCCTCAAAAGCGAGGCTGGAATTACAATAAAGCTCTCTTGCCGACGTAGTTTTTCTGCGATTTGACCATAAACTCCGTCTTTTGCTATGTAGTTTCAGCGTGACTGTGACAGTTTCACTCGCTCTCTCTGCATTATATAGCCTTCTCTTCTCACATCATGTGCATACTGCATGCAATGACGCTCTTATCTACAAATGCATGCTTTCGCAGTATTGCTGCTTCGTTAGCAAAAGCACAGATTTGACTACCGCGTATGCGATGCCTGCGTTGCCACAGGTTACCATGCTGCAGCAGCAAGCTATAGATCCAATTCGTAGACTACTTACTTGACACATCACCGAATGAACATCAGGAGTGACGGTAAAGCGGAACTACGCACTGGCTGCCGTGCCGAGCAGCCGTATTGCACTATCCTTGGAGTGCGAGATGCGTGGAATGAAACTCCAGTTCGGAGCTGCCTTCCTTCGGGACCCTCGTTCCTTTAGAGCAGATCCGCAGGGTTAGAGGGCTTCAGTGACGAGACAGAAGCCTCGTACGCGGCTACAAAACCTTCTACAATTGTCATTCCAGCACAAGTTACGTGTATCGCATGCAGAAGGATGTCAACTGAATACAAGCTCTCGTCGTGAAGTATTCAGGCAGTAGGTGGTGGCCGGGTTGACATGGTACAACAATTACGAGCCTGCAGTGTGTAGGTGCCGTTTCAGGGACACAGTGGTAGATGGCTGGTGTCTCATAATTCACGCACAGAGCTCATGCAAACAGATGGAAACCGATTCAGAAGTTGGAATCTTGGCGGCCAATGAGCTGGTCAGAGCAAAGGATTAAATGGCGCTTTTATATGTATCATATAAACCAAGAAGTGCGGCCTTTGTTCCCGAAATAATTGTGAAGAAGGCCAAATCGCCGCTGGCGCGCCCCACCCACCAGCGGTCCCAGCCGCTGCAGCTCACAGCCACGGCTCACCCTTTAGCTGGAGCGGCTGCTACCCTTCTTTTCCCATATCTCTTTGTCATTGCTGATTCTCGTAGACGAATACATTGGGTGAGAAGCTCTTCTTCACGCTTATCACTAGTTCCCGTCTCGCATTGTCACACACTAAGCCTCTCGCTCATCTTCGCGGGGCCACTTCAGTCGCAGTAGCGTTGCGGCTGGGCTTTGAGCATTAAGATCCTCCTTTATGATCCTAGATTCAGATTGTTACTTCATTGTGCAGCTAAGATAAGCATTTATACGTGTCTTTCGCTCGCCAGACCCGTGAGATTCCGCAGGCTGCTGCTGTTTCCACTGCTGTTCTCCTTCGTTCTCTTCGCCATTGCAGAAGGCGGTCATATTGTCTGTTTACCCTGCTCTTTTTCTTTAATTTCCAGAAGCTTCGCGCTGTTTTGACCCGCAAAAGACGCTGAAACGGCAGCGGCTGCCGAGCTCACCGCAGCGCTGTCCACGAAGTAGCGGCGGAAACAGCTGCAGCTACTATTGCGTTTCGCGGGACCGAAACAGAGGTTTGTGGAAATGTAAAGAACCGAACAAAGAAAACAACAACTGTCAAACAATTCTTCAACGACAAACTTCAAAATGAATGCAGCCGCACTGCCGGCACCAGATCTGTCTGATGCCGTACTTGAACTGGCGGCACTAGAGGACCTGGCAAAGTAAGCCTCAAGGACCCTCAAATTGTAGCTTCCAGCATCCCCTATCGACGTAGAGGCGTTTAGTTACATTATTTCGCTCCGTTCTTTCCGTATTTCTTGCATTTCCAGCTCTTATTCGGCGCATTTCGCAACTAGCTGGCTAGCGATTCGCAGTGCAGGATCCGGCAGTTTGTGCCGCGCTGTCGGGGTTTTCTGTGCAGAAATGAAGCGGAGTTGCCCACGGTGGCTCCGGCGCCGGCGAAGTCCTCTTCGGAGGCTGGCGAGGCGGGAGTTGCAGCTGGTTCGCAGAGCCTCTGCGGGCGTTTGTTCCTGCGGCCGTGTCGGTCGCCGGCGCTGTATTTCCGGCGTTTGCACATGGAGTTTGGAGTGTCTTTGTTGCTGTGCCTGATGTCGAACTACTTGTTCTTGAAGGGGGCAGCTTACCACATGGCGATCGCGGCGTCGACTCCCGTGTTTCGGGAGGTGCTGAAGCTGCCGGCGGAGCAGCACAGCGTGGCGACGGCGCTGTTCATGATTCCCTGGAGCGTGAAGGGGATTGTGGGTTCGGTTTCGGACTTGTTTGCACTTGGAGGTTACCACAAGCGTTCGTACATGCTGCTGGCTTCGAGCAGCGGCGTGGTGGGCTCGATCTTGCTGATCGCCTCGGCGGGCCGGCTGACGATGGGCATCGCAGTCGCGGGTTTCTTTTTGATAATGGTGCAGGCGAGCTTCAACGACTTGTTGTGCGAGGGTTCTTACACGCGGAAGATGGCGGAGAAGCCGCACACGGGGGCCTCGCTGACTTCCTTCGTGTGGCTGTGTTCCTCCGTGGGCACCTTCGCGCAGGCCGTGTGGGTGGGGCCCGTGGTGGACCACCTGCCTTTCCAGGTGGTGTTGGCTCCGTTCATGCCGCTGTGTGCGCAGCAGTTGATTCTGCTGGTGTGGCCGTGGCCGTTTCGGCCGTGGAAGTCGCACGCGGGGGTGGTGGGCGAGGCGTACACGCCGAAGCCGGAGCGTTTCAAGGTGCGTCGCGTGTCAGTGGCACTTCCCGAGCATTTTGCAGCCCTTTAATTGTTTTTATTCGCGTTTTGCTGCTGAAAACTGCTGCTGCTGCTGCTGCTGCTGCGTTGCAGGGCGTGCTGCTGCGGGAGCACGGGCGTCTGTTTGCGTGCGCGTTGTGCCTGACGGCGTGCGCGTTTGGGTCGATGGTGGCGGGTTTGTTGAGCGACCGCATGCACGTGGTGGGGATTTGTTACTGGTTTTGTTCGGGAGTGTGCATAACAGCCACAGTGGCCTGCACAATGCCCGCGCACCTGGCGAAGCCAGTGCTGTACATGTTTCTGGGCCGGTGGCTGGTGCCGAACATCTCCTCGCAGTTCTCCTACTGGCTCCGCGCCGGGCCCGACTGCGTGGCCGACGGCCCCCACTTCAGCTGGAGCTACTTGTTGACTTGGAACGCGTTGGCGCAGTCGGTCTTCGCCTTCGTGGGCGTGGCGCTCTTCCAGCGCTTCGTGTCCCGCTGGACCTTCCGCAGGGCTTTCCTGGTGACCTCCGTGCTGCAGCAGCTGACGAGTTTGCTGGACGTGGCGATGGTGTTGCGTTGGAACCGGCGATTGGGCATTCCTGACAAGGCCTGGTACTTCTGTTCAGCTTCGATCATAGAAGAAGTGGCCTCCATGTGGGCTTTCATGCCTGGCTGCGTGCTGATCTCCAGACTCTGTCCCAAAAACATCGAAAGCACTATGTACGCAGTGGTCGCGGGGCTGCAGAACTTCGCGCAGTCGATGGCCAAACTCAGCGGCAACTTCTTGTGCTTCACTTTGCTGGGCGTTCGCACTTTGGCTTCTCCCGGGGGCCCCGCGTGCGACTTTTCGGGGCTGCCGCTGGGCATAGGGCTGGCCATGGGGGTTTGTCCTTTGCTGCCGATTTCCCTCACTTTCTGGCTGGTTCCCAACATCTTCATGGACCAGGCGGTCACTGCAGACGCTGCTGCTGCTGCTGCGGACCCCGCAGCAGCAGCAGCAGCAGCGCAGCAGCAGCAACGCGAGCTCACCGACGGCGAGCAGCACGCTGCTGCTGCTGCTGCCAGCACGCAAGTGCCCCCCAGCGGCGAAACCGAAGCAGCAGACGACGCAGACACTTCGCCCGTCTCCAGCGCAGAAGACTCCGCAGAAGCAGCAGCAGCAACCGACGCCACTCCCCCCCCAACCCCAGCTGCAGCAGCAGCAGCAGCAGCAGCAGCAGCAGCAGCGGCAAACGCCGCAGCAGCAGCTTCTCCCCCAGCGGGCGCGCAGACTCGCCCGCAACCGCCAGCTAAAGCGCCAGCAGCAGCAGCAGCAGCAGCTGCTGCTGCTGCAGCTGCGCCGGGCACTGAGGAAGGCAGTGCGGAGAAAAAACGGAAAGCAGCACCAGCAGCAACACCGCGTGCCACTGCAGCAGCAGCAGCAGCAGCACCGTCAACTACGCCTGCAGACGAGAGGGCTGCGGAGGCGGAGACGGACCAGTTGAAACAGCAGCAGCAGCAGCAGCAGCAGCAGCAGCAAGAATAGGTGGTGCCGTTGCAGTGCGCAGGCATTGTACTGTAGGTCTACGAGCAGCTGCCCGAAGCGGCAGCAGCAGCAGCAGCGAAAGGAGCAAGAAACGACGCAGCAGCAGCAGCAGCAGCAGCAGCAGCAGCAGCAGCAGCGCGGGAAGCAAGAGCAGCAGCAGACACCGGCGTGGCTGCGAGGACGCAAAGTGCTTCCCTTTCTCCGCAGGACTTCTGTCTTGAATTGAAAAGAGGGAAAGACAGAAGAGAAGTCGAGAAATGTGTTTGCGGGCAAGGGTCCTGAGTGTACATACACCGCGGCAGCGCGCAGCTGCCGGCGTGCACGCAGCTGCATGCATGCAGCGTGCATGCAGCTGCGTGCATGCAGCTGCATGCAGCTGCGTGCATGCAGCTGCATGCATGCAGCTGCATGCATGCGTTTCGAATTTGAGTGGAAATTAGTAGTATCTTCGCACGAAAGTGTTAGTTCTGTAAAGTCCCGCAGCCGCCCCGGGACTGCGAAACGCAGAAACGCATTTGGGCCATTCTTTGCAGCTTCCACGCCGCCAGCGCGCGAGTAACATTTCTTTTCTTGTTTTGCAGATTTAGCATTTCTTTTTCCAATTGCATGTTCTTCCGGCTTTCTTTCTTTTGCGCGAGACGGCGGGGCCTCCGCGGGGCCCCGGGGGCCCCGGGGCCCCCCAAAAACAGTGAAATTGCCCTTCTTTTGCTAGCAGCAGGCCAGCTCGCTTGCATGCGCAGCAGCAGCAGCAGCAGCAGCAGCAGCGCCCATTGTAGATCTGCCTGCGGGGCCCCACACGAGGGCTGTGCATGCGCGCAGCGTGGGAATTTGCCTTTTGTACTTCTTCGCAAATGTATATGTGTACTCATATACAGTTGCAGACTTTGTGCCCCTTTTGGGACTTTGCGTGCAACAAGAACTTATCTTTGTGCATATATCTGTGCACATGCAGCTCCCAACAGCCAGGGGGAACAGTCTTCGGGTGTACGTACACTTGGCTGCTGCTTGCATGCGCCCCCCCAAAGCCCCACAGAGCCTTTCTGCACATTTGTGCGCAGCGCCTGTGCAGTGCACAGGCCCTGCGTGTGGGGCTGGAGAAGGGCCCAGTGCATGCGCTGCATGCGCGTGCATGCATGCGCCGTGCATGCGCGTGCATGCATGCGCCGTGCATGCGCATGCATGCATGCACCGTGCATGCATGCATGCACGCATGCATGCATGCACCGCGCATGCGCGAGCGAGCGAGGCTGTTGCGTCCTGCAAGTTCTATTTGTGCAGCAGTGCACACCCAAGCCACTTTGCATGCAGATGTCGAAGTCCCACTTATGTGCACTGAGGAGGCCCGCATATGAACTGCGGAAACAAAAGGACCCAGGAGAGAAAAGTCGCCAAGTGACCACAGCAGGTGCATGCATGCAGAGGCTTTGCATGCAGCGCATGCAAGTTGTTGTGCCTTGACCAGGCGCGGGCCTCGCGGTGTACAGACACCGCAACGGCCCTGCGACCTGACCTTCAACTCAATCTTTAGCCCTCTCCAGGGCGTATTGAGTTTTACTTTTTGCGCTGTGTAGCCACTATTCGAAAAACCCCATGTCAGTGTCTCGAGCTCAAAAAAATGCCACTCTTCAAGGGAGGGGGGCCCCCAGGGTACCTGGGGGCCCCCACGAGGGTTTGTATGGGTGCCTGGGGGCCCCCTGAGGGCCCCTACGGGTACCTGCGGGCCCCCTGAGGGCCCCAACAGGTGCCTAGGGGCCCCCCGAGGGCCCCAACAGGTGCCCAGGGGCCCCCCGAGGGCCCCAGTAGTTGCCTGGGGGCCCCCTAGGGCACCTGCGGGTGCCGCCCCCCCCCCTGAAGACCCAGCAGCCCCAAGATGGGCCAGCGGGAGATTTTCGTTGTTGAATTTTGGAGCCAAATTGGCTTTTGAAAGGGCCCTGAGGCTCGTGAGTCCAGGACTTTGACTTTGAAGCAAATCTGACTTCAACAAGCCCTTCTTTTCAAGAAAAAAGTACCAAAAGAAATGTTCCAAAATGGCTTTCTTAGGGGCTTTGAGCCACACGGCGCCTGCTGCACTTGGGGCGGCCCCAAAACCCACGGCAAATTCCTTCGCTTGGGGCCCCTGGGGGCCCCTCAGGGGCCCCCAGGGGCCCTGCGGGGCCCCCTGAGGCCCTGCGGGGCCCCGCAGGGCCTCAGGGGGCCCCCGCAGTGCCCTGAGGGGACCCCCAGGAACCCTGAGGGGGCCCCCAAGGGGGCCCCCAGGGGAATTGAGGGAACCCCAAAGGCCCTGGGGGCCCCTGCTTACGGTCCAGCGGCCTTAGAGAAGAGTTTGGGGGCCCCTCTCTGGGGTTGTGGGGGCCTCTTAGGGTTTGGGGGCCCCCTTATTTCGGGTTTGAAAACCCTAATGAAGATTTCTTAGGGCCCCCCGGGGTGTAGGCCCACAATAAGTGCAGCGTCGACTAGCGAGGGGCCCCCTTGGTTGTTGGCATTCTTGGCCTGCTGCTGCTGCTGCTGCTGCTGCTGCTGCTGCTGCTGCTGCTGCTGCTGCTTAGCGACCTTGATCGAAGGAGCCCGTTTCAGACCCTGCTGCTCTTGCTGAGATTGAGCCAAGGCTGACGAAGGGCCCTTAGGGGCCCCCAAGGCTCCTTTGGGGCCCCCTGTGGGCATCCCGGGGGCCCCAATGGTCGTGGGGGCCCCAAGGGCCCCATGGGCCCCATGGGTCCCAATCGTACCGGGGGCTCCAAGGGCCCCAGGGGCCCCAAGGGCCCCAGGGGCCCCAAGGGCCCCAGGGGCCCCAATGGTCCCAGGGGACTTAGGGGCCCCAAGGGCCCCAGGGGCCCCAATGGTCCCAGGGGGCTTAGGGGCCCCAGGGGCTCCAGGGACCCCAGGGGCCATAGGGGCCCCAGGGGCGCCAGGGACCCCAATGGTCCCAGGGGCCCCAAAAGCCGCAGGGGCCCCAGGGGCCTTAAGGGCCCCAGGAACGCCGGGGGCCCCCGGGGGGGCCCCAGGGTTGTTAGGGGCCCCGGGGACCCCAGGGGCCCCCGAGGGAAGGGGGCCCCCCGAAGGGGCCCCAGGGGCCCCCCCTTTAGAGGCGTTTGCCCGGGAAAGGAGAGAGTCGCAGAGCTGCAGCTGCTGCAGGTCGTATTGGATTTGAGTTTCGAGTCTGCAGCAGCAAAGCAGCAAATGAATAAAAGAAAATTTTAATTAAGAGAAGAAAGGGATTTTTTCGTAATTAATTGGAATTTAAATGTATTTTTACTTGTGTTTGTGAACAGCCATTGAAAGAACTATTATTAATTGATTTATCTTTTGATTTTCTCTTGAAAATGCACAAGTCGTTTTGCAGAAATGCATTCTTTGTCGCCCCCTTGGAGGGGAAAATAAACTTCTTATTTTCCCAACTCCGAGCAGGAAGAAAGACAGAAAGACGGGCGAAAGGACAAGTGCATGCAAGTGCATGCAAGTGCATGCAAGTGCATGCAAGTGCATGCAAGTGCATGCAAGTGCATGCACTTGCATGCATTTATGCATGCATGCAAGTGCATGCATGCAAGCGGGGAAAAGTGCGAGAAAACGAGGGAAATGAATGTCTAAAAAGAAATGATATAAAAGTTCGCCAACAACTTTTTTGAAGGCCAGACTCATCTACTTAGAAGCTCAGGTGTACGTACACTTGAGTGTGGACTGGTGCATGCATGTGCATGCAAATTCGGCAAATATATTTTTGTTTGGCTTTCATATATATTCTTTTACGCATATTTGCAATATATAATAAGTTTATATTATATATGTACTGTATATGAATACTGGAACGAAATGATGAGATGGCACGAAACCGAGGGTTTAGGGTTTAGGGTGTAGGGTTTAGGGTTTAGGGTTTAGGGTTTAGGCACCTTCTGCAATCCAACAGCTTGAGCAAAATTTCCTTCATTTCGTTCGTTTCCAATCCTACGAGATTCCTCATAAAACCATCCACAGGACGATCCCTGAGAAAACAAAACCCTAAACCCTAAACCCGAAACCCTAAACCCTAAACCCTAAACCCTAGTTGTAGTGTCGACGCTACTTGAGGGACAAAGGCACTGTACACATGAGCGCGCGGACAAAGCATTACTCTGCAGCAGCAGCAGCAACACGTGCAGCAGCAGCAGCAGATGCAGCGGCAGCAAAAGATGCTGCAGCAGCCACAGGTGCAGCAGCAGCAGCAACAAGTGCAGCAGCAGCAGCAGCAGCAGATGCAGCAGCAGCAGCAGCAGCAGCAGAACATACTCTCTGTCTCTGATTTCCTCGGGGGTTCTCTCCTGTCTCAAATGACTCAAAAGCTTCAAGTGCTTCTGCCGCTGCTGCACCTTGCGCCGCCGCTGCTCCCTGCTGCTGCTGCTGCTGCTGCTCCTGCTGCTGCTGCTGCTGCTGCTGCTGGACCTGCTGCTGGGCCATCCTCTAGTTTTGCCATTTCCGAAACCACCAAATCCGCTTTTACTTTCCCTCTTGTGCCCCCTCACCTTCGCTTTGGGGGCCCTCAAGGGGCCCCCAGGGGCCCCCCTAGGGGGCCCCCTCAGGGGGCCCCCTGGGGGCCCCCTCAGGGGGCCCCCCGAGGGGGTCCCTCCTAGGGGGCCCCCAGGGGGGCCCCTGAGGGGGCCCCCAGGGTACTGAGGGCTGGGAGTCCTGCGTTTAGTTTTGCTGCTGCGCCTTTTGCTTTTATCTTTGGGGGCCCTCGAGGAACTCAAGGGGGGCCCCCCTTGTTTGGCTTGCAAGGGGGGGCCCCCCAGGGTACTGCAGGGGGGCGAAGCTGCTGCAGCAGCTGCGGGTCCCCCCTTTGCTGCTGCTGCTGCTGCTGCTGCTGCTGCTGCTGCTGCTGCCTTTGGTTCTGCTTTCGGACACGAGGGAGTCAGCCGGCCGCGAGAAAGGCAAAGCTGTGCAAACAAACAACCCTAAACCCTAAACCCTAAACCCTAAATCGTAGCCAATAGGCGTCTAGCCAAAGATATTCGTTGTCTCAAAATAAACCCTAAACCCTAAACCCTAAACCCTAAACCCTAAACCCTAAACCCTAAACCCTAAACCCCAGGCTTACCGGGCAGTTGCCATAGAGCCATACGCCACAGTCGGAGCCTTCTGAGCCATTCGGGACACTGCAGCACCAGACACCGACTCTAAACCCTAAACCCTAAACCCTAAACCCTAAACCCCAAGTCTTGAACCCTAAACCCTAAAGCCTAAACCCTAAACCTCAAACCCTAAATCGTAAACCCCGGCCCTGCCACATTCCATGTGAGCGCCCGCTGCTGCCTGAGTGCAAACTGTGAGGCTTAGGGTTTAGGGTTTAGGGTTTAGGGTTTAGGGTTTGGGGACTTGCCTCTCTTCTGCCTCCACAGACTGTCGCGAGGGGGCCCCCGGGGGCCCCCTTTCTTCTCTTATATCAGAGGGGGGGCCCCACTGCTGCTGGGGGCCCCCCTGCAGGTGGCTGGCTCTGGCCCAGAGCTGTTGCATGCGCTGCAGCTGTTCCATCTGCTGCTGCTGCAGCTGCTGCAGTTGCTGCTGCTGCTGCTGCTGCTGCTGCTGCTGCTGCTGCTGCTGCTGCAGGTAGTCCTGCATATACATCTTTGCTGGATTCAGCTTCTGGGCCGGCAAGAAAAACCCTGGCCTTGCCTTTAGCACATAAGGAGAAGCAGAGAAGGGTGGCAGCAGCGGGGCGGGCCGGGGGCCCCCCTGGGGGCCCCCCTGGGGGCCCCCCGGGGGGCCCCCCTTGGGGCCCCCAGGGGGGCCCCCGTCTGGACCCAGGGGGCCCCTGAAGTGAGGGTCTAAGGCGCCTTCAGCATATAAAACCACACCTGAGTCTTGAGGCGGTTCGGGGGGGGAGGAAGGCATTGTCGATGCTGCAGGGTTTAGGGTTTAGGGTTTAGGGTTTAGGGTTTAGGGTTTAGGGCTCAGGGCCTGCTCTTCTCGCTGTGTTCAAAAGGAAAAGCATAGAAGGTGTATAAGAACCTGCAAGGAAACTCTAAACTAACAGAAGGGTGTGGGGGGCCCCCGTTACAGCAGCCGGGGGCCCCCGGGGCCCCTGGTTAGCTACCGGGGGCCCCTCAGGCGGGCAGAACCAAGGGGTTTTTGAAGTTAACAAGGAAATAATTTGACAGAAATGACTCAAATAATCTGAAAAATAGGGAAGAAAGTGGAGTTCTCAAAGCAGCAGCTGCGGAAGCCGCTGCTGCTACTGCTCTGCTGCTGCTGCTGCTGCTGCTGCTGCTGCGGCTTGTTGGTCGTCGATCTCGGGCCCACCTGCACATCCCGAAAGCTCATGAACTTTTAATTTATTCTTATTTAAATTTTATTTTTATTTTTATTTTTATTTGCATAATTTAATTCGCTTTCCCACCAATATGGCCAGCAGCGGCAGGGCCCGCGACACCGCAGCAGCAGCAGCAGCAGCAGCAGCAGCAGCAGCGGCAGCAGTACCAGCAGCCGCAGCCTTCCAAGCCCCTTTCTCTGTTGCCTTTCTGCAAGCCATTGAGCTCAATTATAGCTAAAAAGCATTAATTGATTTAAATTAAACATTTTAAAACTAAATAAATAAACACACAATTTAACTGTTGGCATTCCCCAGGTGCAGAGGGGGGCCCCCGCAAGCCCTTGGGGCCCACCCACGCGCTGGGGGCCCCCCGAAGCAGCCGCAGGGCCCCCAGCGAGTCTTTCCCTCAGCTGGTTCAGTGTGGGGCCATTAAGGGGCCCCGGGGGCCCCACAGTACCCTTTTTTGGGCGCTTTTCGCAGCACAGGGGCCCCCCTGCAGGGCACGGGGCCCCCGGGGGCCCTCTCAGGCACAAAAGGACAGGGGGGCCCCTGGGGCCCCGTGGGCCCCTAAAAGGGCACTGGGGGCCCCACAGCGGGCTGGGCAAGGGGGCTTTGGGGGGCCCCTGTCGGTAAGAAAGTGCCAGAAGTGGGGCCCCTGGCAGGCACTGGCAGGGGCCCCCAGCAGCAGCAAATAAGGGTTTGGGGGCCCCCCTAGGCCGCTTAGGGGAATTAGTTTGCGTAGAGAGGCCCCTGAGCTTGGACCAGGGATTCTAGGGTTTGCAGCTAGTGCCCTAGGGTTTAGGGTTTAGGGTTTAGGGTTTAGGGTTTAGGCTTGAGGGTTTAGGGTTTTTTGCCTAGGGTTTATCCGCCCTTAGAGTTTGGAAACAGCTATTAGGAAACATGGCAGCTGCTGCAGCGTCTGCTGCAGGGGACCCTGCTGCAGCAGGTGCAGCACAGGAAGCAGCAGCAGCAGCAGCAGCAGAGGCTGCAGCAGCCCCCGACGCAGCAGCAGGCGCAGACGTAGATGCAGCAGCAGCAGCAGCTGCTGCTGCTGCAGCAAACACTGCAGGAGCCCCGGACGCAGCACCTGAGTCAGGCGGAGGTGCAGCAGAAGCAGCAGCAGCAGCAGCAGCAGCAGCAGCAGCAACGGGGGACTTGTCTTTGTATGTAGAAACAGATGAAGACTTATCCGAAGCAGAACTCTCCTTGACTCTGGGGGCCCCCAGGGGGCCCCCAACTGCAGCAGCAGAACAGGGGGGCCCCCCCCAGGGGCCCCCCTGCTGCACTCATATATACCGACTGAACCAGCAGCAGCAGCGAGCCCACAGGGGCCGCAGGGGCTTTGAGGGGGCCCCCCTCCCGCTGCTGCTGCCGCGCCTGCTAGCCTCTGGGGGCCCCCCTGGGGGCCCCCCCTGGGGCCCCTCCCTCGGGGCTGCTGCAGCAGCAGGCGCAGGGGAGGAAGCAGCAGCAGCTGCTGCAGCAAGTGCTGCAGCAGGCGCTGTAGGAGATGCTGCAGCAGGTGCTGCAGCAGGTGCTGCAGCAGGTGCTGCAGCAGAGGGCAGCGGGGAAGCAGCAGCAGCAGCAGCAGCAACTGAAGCATCTTTCTGGAAGCAAGGGTCCACCCCGCTGCGTACCCTCATGGAGATGCTCTCAGCAGCTTCCTTGGGGGCCCCTGGGGGCCCCCCAGGGGCCCCCGGGGGCCCCCCAGGGGCCCCCGGGGGCCCCCAAACCCAAACAAGTACCCTCAGCTGCAGCAGCCCCAGCAGAAGCTCCAGCTTTCCAAACTCTGGGGGGCCCCCCGAGGCCCCAGGCCCCACGGTGGGTGACTTTGGCAGCAGGGGCCCCCAGGGGCCCCCAGGGGGCCCCAGAAGGGGGCCCCCCGAGGCCCCAGGGGCCCCTGCTTCCCTTGGGGGCCCCCCGGGGGCCCCCAATGGCCTAAAAGCGATTTTGGGGGCCCCTAGGGGCCCCTAGAGATGTGCAGCAAATAAAAGGGTTTTGGGGGCTTCTTGCAAGTGTCATTTGTACTTCCTCACGAACTCCACTGCTGCTGCTGCTGCTGCTGCTGCTGCTGCTGCTGCTGCTGCTGCTGCTGCTGCTGCTGCTGCTGCTGCTGCTCTGCTGCTGCTGCTGCTGCTGCTGCTGCTGCTGCTGCTGCTGCTGCTGCTGCTGCTGCTGCTGCTGCAGGAGCAGTCGCTGGGCCTCCTGCCGCTCGAGCGGCTGCCCCCTCTGACATCTTTGGACACAAATGCAATTCTTTACCACTTAACTCCTTTGCCATTAATG